GGGGGGGAGGTTGGCTACGAAAACTCCATGACGATTGAGATTCTCTGGAGATGCATCTCTCTCGAACAATCGCTCTTAAGAGACAGGAAGTAAGCTGAATAGCTCCCTTAGACCCTTGGAAAGCGGCAAGGAAGAACTCGCCCTAGGTACGGTGAGATAATGGAAGGATGATCTAAAATGAAAAAATGAACGACGGTGTCTTCTGAGCCACTGCGTTCCTCGCTCATATTCAGAAGAGGCATCGAGGGACGTCGCCCAGCCACAAAGGCATTCTGCTTGGTTTCTCCGCCCACAGTGCACCTCCCTTCTGTGCCTCCATATAGAGTCAAGCTCCAGTAAAGCATTGAGCGAGGGGCTGGTGCACCGGGACAGCCCGGGTGCAGAATTCCTTCAACTCCTCCAACTAATATTCAGAAATGGTCAAGGTCTCAATATGGTCCACTCTATGCATTCATCCTACTCCTCCAATAGTCCAACACGTCCCTTTACATCACGGGTGCTGTGATGCACTTTGACCTTTTCTGCTTCACTTGTACGCCCTCTTATGTTAACACAGAATCTGTACCGAACAATAGCAACTGTGGGAACAAGTCTCCCAGTTCCTGATCCAAGGGAAATCGCTGTTGAACTAAAAGTTCAACAACCCCCTTCACTTGAACAAGATGTTTGAAGACGGCAGCACGTTAGTAAGGAGCCGGTGCTGACCTTCACTTAGCGGAGCGACACAGTTGCATGACCGCATTTCTGGATTCTTTTATTCATTACTTATTGTTATACTTCTGGGGTGCTCCTCTTTCCTGCTTGGGTGGAGATGGTGTAGTGGAAAGTGATGTAGGCTATCAGGCTATCACTCGCATGGCCCGGGATCGATTCCCGAATCGTACTCATCTAGTCCAATCAAACTGTCCCTCTCTCTGTTGCAAACATGTAATAACAAGTCTATTGGACAAATCCCAGAGCCTTAAGGGAGACCCGCGGTCCTCGATCAAATCCAGAATTCGGATAATTTTCTCACTTCTGATGGGGAGACGGGCAGTTAAATTGGTTTTGTGCAATCGATTCGCCGCACGCGGCAGTTGCGGACTAGTTGTCTCGTTGTTGTAGTTCTAACGTTCTTCATATATCTTGATCGATATGCGATTATCATTTTTGGCTTAATTCTGCTGTATCTTCATTTTTTCCTTCATTCAGCTTCTGCTTTCATTCTGCCACATTCCTTCGCGCGCGATGTCATTCTTGCCGCGAAGCAACAACTTCGGTTCAAGTGCATCACACCAAACGCTGTTCAATAATTAGGACTGTTCGATTTCGAGGGATGGCCACCTTTGTTTGTTTTCCTGGTCACCAAATAAATTTTGTGTTATCACTTTGCATGCTCTATCGGAACCTCTCCATTTTTCGGTAGTTATCTGGATTATCTTTTATGTTTCTCTTTCATTCCAGTTGTGCTTTCGTTTGTTTTCGTAGCCCAAACATCCGATTGGCTGCTTTCATAGTCCGCCGGTCGGCCCGCAAGCGTGCGCCGGCCGGGGGCGCCCCATTCCACTCGTTTACAAAATGAATATTGATGGATACCGTCGGTCGAGTAGTCCCCCGGCCGGCGGACTCAGAAAGCAGCCAGTGGGACTGTGTGAAGTGTGAACCGAGTCCTACCTCTACCAGTTAACGATCTAATTCTTTTGCAGTTATTCCGTGGAGTCCGGTCGGAATGTCTGCTCTCTTGAAGAACAATAAAGTTATCGGAGGACTTATTGCGGGTCTTGGTGGCGCCACTGCTATTTACACCTTCACGCCTCAGGTGTGAGAGCTTTTTTTTTGTCAAAATTCTCCTCATTCAGTAATGCTGTTTATATTTTACTTTTTTCAGATTAATTCCTGGTTTGGTTTTGGCAATGGTGTTGATGAGAACACGATCAAGAAAATCGAAGAAGGTTACCAAAAATTGAATGGACCAGAAGGAAAAAATTGCAAATCGTTGCTAAAAAAGGTACAGCAGATTTATCCGTTGCTTTTTAAGAATGTAGACTAATTTTGTTTGTTCTTAAGCATCTAACGAGGGATGTTGTTGATGAATTGAAGTACAAGAAAACAAAACTCGGTGCAACGTTGTACGACTGCATTCGATCAGGTACACTCTAAATAGTAATTTCTTCAGTCAAGTCTATTTTGGAACTTGATTTACATACTTGTTTACTGCTAGATGGATGATACGAGTAAATACTCTCCACGTAATTGACTGATTATGACTAATTACTGACAGTTTCATGACTAATTGTCCTGGGAACGGTTGCAGTACTTCGTTAGCGAGAAAGCGTACCAAATTCCTCGCTGCCAGGAAATTCGATCTCACCACTTTTGATAGGTGGTGTAAATATAGTCGTCAACAGTATAGGTATTGATGATGAATAAATAGTACAAATTGCTGTCGGAGCTACCAACACCTAAATTATGGCCTATGGTCTGTGAATTTCGATCAACATTCCTTGTGCCTTTAGATAGAAATTTAGACCTACAAACGGTTAAGGAAAAGCTTCATTCTTGAAAGGGCAATGTATTATATATGCAGTGGAAGAGGCTGTATGTTTGCAAAGTGCTCTTTCCTGATAATAATTAATCCTGTTTTCGATTCGTTGAAAGTTTTTGTGATGCAGCTTGCATAGCTTGCACAATACTAAAGAGTCACTAATGGAATTATGTCGAGGTGCATGTCAATTGGCTGCCTTCGCCATCTCCTTTTACTGAATTCAGTGCATCGACACAAATATAATCGTCCGATTATTATTGATATTATTCAAAAACGAGAATGAGGAGATTTTGAAATTGAAATCCTGTTTGTAACCCAACATTAACAGCTATCCTTTTACAGGGCGGAGGGATTTTTGGTTTGCAACAAAGGCCATTCTGAATTAATGTAAATATCGCATTGGTCTGATATATGTATGTGATGTTGCTCCACCGCTGCTTCACCAATCTGTCTTATATCATCATCAGCACTTTTATGACAGTCAGTGTAGACCATTTAATCGCTTCTAACAAAATGTTTGTTGAAGGCAATGACTTTTGCACTTCTGCTCGGCACTGGGTCATAATTGGGTTCGTGGATTGGTGTTTGAATCACAGGAGAAGTGGGGGAGATGAATTTTCAAAATCGAGTTACTCTTACGGTTCTCTGCTTGCCTTAATTGATTGTTATTGTGGTTTCGCGTCTTATTCCGGAGTATTTCAAATCGAATGCACTTTTTTGTAAATACT